GATCGAACTATATACGGAGGTGATGAGAAAAATATTATTGTACACCATAACGCATTACGGGCGTGTGTGTGTGTGTGTGTGTGTGGCGCTTTAATTATTTTGTACATTACAACGCATTCAGTTTACAATCCACTGATCCGTGTATATGGCGCGAGAAATAAACATTATCATCGATCAGTTTCTCGGGTTAATTAGAAACTTATATCCGAACAGGGTGTATATATCACCCATAGATATATATTATATTATTATACACAGATATATAACATTCGCGAAAATCTGACTCGGGTATATCATTAATATTGAGACGGAAAACGATAAAACTAAAATAGACATATTACCCGATCGTCGTTGCGTGCAAATAACGATGTTTGAAAATGAAAAAAATTCCGTTTTTGTTTCTTTTGCTCGGTGTACTAAACGATTGCCCTTTTCACTGTGTAACGATTTCGTGCTATGTCTCGATTGAGACAAGTATAATTTTCAATAACAGGTGTCCGAGGTTATCGAAAATAATATCGTTCCTCATCACGCGTGTCGATGAAATTCCAATATTTGTGCAGTACAGTATACACATACAAAATGTTTTTAATGAGGAATCTCGAACCTAACGTCGCTACAGATTGATTATCATCCGTTACGTAATATAAAATTACCGCTATCTCATTTCCTCGAAACATAAACTCGTTCGCCGCACACATATATAGCAACAAAATATAGTTTAATGCAATTATCATATTTTTTGTTAATTTAATGGCGAAATTGTTTACATCAGTTAACTCGTCCAAAAGCATTTAGCCAAAAATTTAATATCCTCATTGTATATGTCTGAGTTCAGGAAATAATGAAAAAGCAACAAAAACTTTCAACCTTTTTTATGTATTCATTATTATATAGTATAAAGGGTGTGTGAGATTAAAAAAGGTTGCATTTTGTGGGAAACGTGACAGCGTGAAAAATCTCTATTAAAACACGTACATAGATAATAAATGTTTTTTGCTTACGAATCTGTTTATTCAAAATTTAAACTTTAAAAAGCATATAATCTCTTAAAACTAGACCAAGTAAGCACTTTTCTAAATTAAATTTCTAAGAACTTAAAAAAAAAACTATGCATTGAATAAATTGAAAAAATACTACTAAGAAGCTATTCTTATGTTGTATACCTACTACCTAGCAACCTAATTTAAATTTAATTTCAACTATTTCTCATGAAATATTTCATTTCATCAATATTTCAGGAAACATAAAATCGTGTGCTTCGATTTTATTAATTTAAGAGTACTCTACGCACAGTATAAGTGCAACGAGCAACCAACTGTTTTAAAAAATAATGTACATTAGGATACAGAGGAATAAACCCAGGTTCCGCGGAATTCCGGTGCCATACATAATGCAACAGTAATTCTACTGCAGCCGAGTCCGTTTATTACGAATTTGTTAAAATATTTATCTCCCTATCCTTTCGAAACCAAAACAAAATTGTTATACACTACACCATCGGATTTGACTTACGTTCTTTTGACGATAAGTGTATAGGGCGTAATTCTACAGTATTATCGTGGGCGTGTGCACAATAATACTATAAAAGCGTGTTGGTCATAAGCACACCGAGCACACTTTCTTGACACGAGAAATTTGTTACACTATCAATTTTACCCCGACCAAAAGCCACCCACCATCACTTTCAAAAGAAATTACTGTACATAATTCATAACTGAACGATAAAATACAATATATATATAAATAAAGTATAACAATGACGAATGAAAAAACGCGGAATTTGTTATCTATACGCATTTGTTGTGTCTTGTATGTGATTAAATAACACTTAAAACATCATGTCTTATACAGTTATTATTATATACGTGTTATATAAAACTTTATAATATTTTGATATCCCAAGTGACCCGGACAAATGCGATACAGATTTCAGTAATATTTCTCTATATAGACTCAGTAATATAGCCAGGCATGGTGGCTTGGTATCTGGAAATTCTTTAATGACCATATTCAGATTAAATATGGTTAGGTTAATGTTAGGTTAGGTTAGAAAGAAACCACGCTATATGGCGTAAAATTGCATATAATGTTCAATTTATGTTTGATTGAAATAAAAACAACTCTAATTCAGAACTACAGATATATTGGGAAAAAATACATAATATTGAACAACTTATTAAGGCTTGCGTGACGAAATAACAGTGTACGTACGCTTGACAAATCATTATCGAAACGCCTCGTGGGATATCTACCAGCTATGTAATAATATTATTATATTATTATTTACCATTTATTATATATTATATTTGAAGAAAAAAACATTGTACAAACACTGCAGCAGTCCGTCAAAACTTAAGCACCAACAAAAGTTTAAAGTAAACCTGCTTAGAGCGTACAACAGCAAACTAAGTTTTGAAACGTAATTCGAACTCCGCGGCGATTAATCGGCCTGCGATATAACATTTCGTTCATGCGATCGTTATTTGTATTTTCTGTAAGCCGACAACGGTAAAAACACCATGACAAACGCATCACGTAGGTATCTAAGTCCGTCAAGAAAAAAATTCATCCGTTGGATTTTAAGAGCATTAAATAAGTACCCACGTTTGTACATTTATAACACCGACAAACAATATAAAATATGTGTTATTTCGATATCGAATAATGTCACACTAAAAACAATGTACCTATGTACTTATAATAAATTATACACTATATGTCTATATGCACATGTGGCAAACTATTACGTCTAACCGCGGCCCTATGTGGCATAGACAGAATTTTTGAAAAGGAGGGAGATGAAAAGACTTTAAAAAATACATTTCCTTACTGTTACCTATATATTATAACATATGTCTAACAAATATGCATACCAACATAAACAAGTCTATTGTTATTAATGTAAAACTATATTTCTTTTTTCTAGTTGTAAACTTATTACCACCATATTCTCCTTTATTTTTTATTTATTCTATGGCATATTCCCATTTTAGACCACATATCACTCGCTATAGCCCTATGATAACTGTGATTATTATAGAATCATTAAAAATTGAAATTGATACACAGAATAATGATAACATTTTATTTTCCAAAAATGATAAAAAATCAATGCAGCCAAAATAATATAACCTTTTTTATACACCTATATTACGGCCAATGGGGGGCATAGCGCCCATGCCCCCTCCCTTCGCTCCTTTGGTTACGTCAGTGACTGCTCTGTTTCTGTCGGTAATATTATTAAAAGATGAATAATTATTACACAAACGGACGGAATAATATTATGCTGGTGAAACTAAATCTATAAGTATATAACGTAGGTACCCAAGTTATAACTCTAATTCGAAACTTAAACAAAACACTCTTTTGGAAATAATTTTGAGCGAAAAATGGCTACAAAAAAACTCACATACAGGTAATTTCCCCTAAAAAATTCGACCGTCGTTCGAACACAATACAACTTTTTCTGTTGGTGATGTTCTAACATACGACAACGGTCAACGACAACAACGATGTTCCATCAGACGAAATTACTACCTTAAATTCTTAACCTATAATTTGCTACTTTGAAATTACATTAATTTTGATGTTTTATAACAATTGAATCGTTTATAAGGAACCACTGACACGAAGGCATTTATAAATTAATTAATCTGCTCCACATTGGGAGGCATCTATTAGAGCCTTACCGTTTAAACGATGAAATTTAAGGTACGTCGGAAGCGACTTGTGGTGGTGGGTACTTAAACTTTAAAAATAATTGCATCGTAGGCGTTTCAAAATAAATCGGCGCCTCTGCCCGAGCAACCGTAATGGTGTACGGCACACCAAAGGGTTAAACGCGCCGACGCGCGACAGGGGTGCGCTGTTTCGGCAACCTCGCCGGATTCGAACACAATATTATTATAATCACACTCGGTATGGGTGTAGGTGGTATACACGGCAGCAGCAGCGGTTTACCTGTTGGTGCACGCGGTACACGGATGGATACGTGTGGCTGCAGGTATGTTGACACGCGGTTTATAGACGATGTAGCATACGCAACGACAATGCGATGACCTATTGAGGCCGAACAGAATGACTATAACACTATGGGCAGGTATAGGGTACTGACCGTCTCGCGTCTCATCACGTGCGCCCATTCCGACGTAGCCATACGACACACACACACAATATGCCGATGACGTCGTGAAAGGGGTCTTACGAACATTTTCGGCGACAAAAACGGTGGGGATTGCGTTGGGGACCAACCGACCACGTAATAACCCCCACCACATTTTTCGCACGAAATCATCCGAAAGACCCCGGTTGTTACCTGTACTACCTACTCAATCCTGACGTGTATCGTTATCTTGCGACCGGCGTTGTAATATCACGAAATTCATAATGATTATAGTATTCGACATTTTTAAGAGCAAGTCGCGAGATGCGGATACGGGTATCGGCGGTCCAAAATCGAGCGTCCGAGGATAGTACTTACATTAGGCACATGTGCGATACACCAGCGAAACGTACCGAGTGTCTAGAGATATCGCTGTAATTCGGATTATCTTGCCGGTCTTCCGATAATCGCTCAAAAACGATCTTTATCAAATGCGCGGGGGTTTTGGCGAAGGATCTACAATGATGATATCGTTATAAATAATATTGTGAAGGGTTGTGTACAGCGTGGGTCACCGCGGCGTCTACCGGGTATAAAAGACGCTCGGCCGTTCCACTGAATAGGTGTCCAGTCGGCCGGCCACGAACGCGTTCCCATAAATCGTTTTCATTATTCCTAATCCATTCGAACGTATGAAAAAAGAAATACCTACCTACCTACTATCAAATTAATTTTTTGGCCGTAAATTCGATTGCGGACTGTGAGCGTAACTTTAAAATATTATGCATACGACGATATACTAATACTAAGTCGATATAATAATATTATAACAACAATAACGACAATAATAATAATAATAATAATAATAATAATAACAAGGGTAGATTGTACTCACGGTATAACAACAAAACGTTGTGCGTTGATGCGACGGTATCGTATCGAGCGGTTACGCACGTGGTACCGGTGCGTGTGCCGAGGGTGTCGGTGACCGGTGTAGTGGTAGAGAGTGGGCACACGGAAAACGAATGCGACTGCTGCGGTGATGAGGCTACGACCGTGTACGTGGCGGCCAGCGGTGGTAGTGTGCCGGTGGTGACGATATCGGCGGCTGTGGTGGCGGCGGCGGTGGTGGTGGCGGTGGTGGTGGTAGTCGACGTGAACGCCGCCGGCGAGCTGCTGTTGCTGGCCGCTCTTGCTGCTGCTGCTGCTGCTGCTGCTGCCGCCGTTGATTCTGTCACCGTCTCCGTCGGTGCGTGAGTGTGCGTGCGTGTACGTGTGACGCGCGCGTTTGTGTGTGTTTGTGTGCGCGCGCACGCGACGTGAAAAGATAATAATCACAACGACTCGGACGGTCCCTCGGCTGCCGCCGCCGCCGCCGCCGCGAGTGTACGTATAACGTGTGACGGTAACGTTCGAGCGAGCGTGCGCGCGCGCGCGCGGTTCACAGTCGGCGGCGCGGACGGGGTGAAAATCTGATCGGCCGCCGCCGCCGCCACACACACACGCACACGTGGCATACGGGCCATACGGCACACACAATCGATAGCGGCGGCCAGCGCGAGAACCGTCGGCACGACGAACGGACGGAGATGACGGAGCGGCGGACTTTTGAGGCCAGCAAACGCGCGCGAAGCGACAGACCTACCTCAACGACGGTCGTGCCTAGGTACCTAACCTAACCTACGACGTACCTCGGTATATTCTAAAACATTTTTCAAAAACGAAACATGACAAAAATAAAAATATTCAGACTGAGATTTATTAAATATGTATGTATACGGTTGTGGTGAGGCTGGAGGCAAGTTTTCTGAAACAAAATAAATTTAATATTAGGTTCATGATAAATGATAATACATAAAATAATATGTATTATGTATAACATGTACGTGTACGTCAAAAAATTATATTGGCTGTTAATAGCTCTGACGATTCCGCAACGTGTTTCGCTTCCAGTCATAAGTCTGCGCAGAGGTTCAGAGGTGTGTGTGTGTGTGTGTGTGTGTGTGTGTGTGTGATGACTGCTGAGAGGGTAGGGGGTGAGTAAAGGCTAAGGGTTCATCGACCTCACTGAATAGATGCGATTGCCCCTGTTGATATCTATGTGTGGCGCAGTTATACATATTATTATTGTTATTATTACGTGTGTTATTGGCAAAACCAACAACTACCTCACGATATAATTCACACAACGCAACGCGTCTTCATTCGCACGAATATTATTATTATTATTACACCATCGCATCATCAACCGTCAGTGTATCCGACATCCATCTTTGTGCGAGTCTGACCGGTTCGTGACCATATTTATGGACATTTATGTACCAGTGTTAAACGTATTACGATAATATGGCCTATGGGGTATAATAAAATATCGATAATGTGTGTGAAATATATTGATTTCAACTACAATATAATATATGTCTTTTTTATTTTTTATTTTTTTTATTTTAGAACCATCAGCATATACTATTATGGTTCGACAGTTATATCAGATAAATAGAATTTGTGTGTACAATTTAAATGATAACATTGGTACGAATATAATGTTAATAATAGTCATAGCGAATATAAAATAACAGAGAGAATAAAAATAAGAAAAAAACATAATGAGGTGATTATTGTTAACGATGATAAATAGTAATTAAGCAACTTTAGTTAGAAGTGAATAATTGAGGACTGTGGTTAGCAGGGAGATAATATATGTCTTAAACTCAATAAAAAAATATAAAATGTAATTTGGATCACTTTCAACGTACAGTTAATATACGTGATGCGTATTTGATTTGTATGATTCAGTTTCAATAAGTAATAAAAAATTAATCACTACTGGATTTCTATACGTTTGGAACTGGGAATGTTTAGAGGGAAAACGTGTATAATATCAAAGGAATATTTTAGCGGTACCGAAAAAATATTGGGAAAAATCGGTTATTACGAATTTATAAAAACTGTCTTTTATAAATTTCAACCAAACTATATTATTAATATCCTCAGGAAATGTTAAACAATATAAAATTTACATTATTATCATAATAATCTCATTACATTCGTAACTAGTTGACAAATTACAAACAATCCTATAAGTATATAATTGCAATTACCTGTAACCCATTTATAAGATTGTATCTATGCTTAATAAAGTTTTTTAAATAATAATTCGAGGTTAATACTAGTAGTATCAAATGCCTTTCTGACATCTAGAAAAATACTAATAGTTGTATAATGTTTTACTCAAATCTAGATTTTCATGTATCTATTTATTGACAAAAAAATTTAAGCCATTTACTGGCCTACAAACTACTCTTTAAAAACCAAATTAATTATCAGAATAAAAAGAGTTAGCACTTAAAAATGCATAAATAATTGTTGGTGCATTTTTTCAGAAACTTTTCATAAAGATGATAGCCACCTATTTAAATAAAGAAGTTATAAAAATATATATGTAAAAACAAAAATTAGGATATGTCAACCACATTTGAATGGTTTAAAAAGAAAAATGCCGATTCAGAGCTTTTATTTTATGATATGAATGACATTTGGTCATATAAACATGTATCATGTACATATTTGGAAAAAAAAAGAGAAATAAACTAAAAACGTCCAAATGTTCCCAATTTTATTTATCTCTTCAAAAATTGTAGGTAAGTTGGTGATTCTTTTTTAAAAATGTGGTATATTACTTTAGCAATAGATTAAATATTTGATGATAATTGCATGTCTATATTGGTTTTATCATTATCTTCAAGAGCATACAAAAGAACGGTATAACAAAATGTTTAGGTCTTTAGATAAAAACTTGTACATATAGTCGAAATCAACAGTTTCCCAGTTCCTAGTAATCCTCGGCAATATTAAAGGAAGTTTGGCACCTTCACAAACGTCTTTTATCATAAAGCTCGCTTGATTTTGTGTTATGTGTGGCCTTTAAATTATATACATTTACTGTTCAAGGTAACATAACACTATTACATAAACATTTGAGTCACCAAGCATTCTTGACACCATTTTTTCATTTAACAATTAATTTATTCAAATTCTGATCTTTGAAATTTTTAAATATACTTAGAGTCGATATTTTGAAATTGTTTAGATTTTTTTTTGCAATACTTAAGATGTGTCTTGTTTAGATGCAAACTTGTGTCTTAAAAATTAGAATCCACCTTTTTATTAAAAATTATTCAGCGAATAATTTTTTTTTAAATTTAAATGTAAGTACCTAATTCAAAATTTAAATGAGTAGTTTGTAATTTATTTAATATTTATACTACGCATGATAGTTCTTAAAAATGGTTTAACAAAAATATAAATAGATGTATTATTAGTATATCGAATCTAGTATTTTAAGTATTTATTATACTATTGAGACAGTTTCTTAAGGACACTCCTTAAGTAGTAGATACAAAGATCTCCATAATTTAAAAATATGGTCTTTTCAAAAATATTTTGAATAACTACATTATTGAAGAAAAATTCTTTGTGAATCTCCCTGTATACCGTTTTTACTTATTAGTTATTATCTAGGTATATAAAAAAATAAGAACAAATAAACTAAAATAAATATATTTAACACTAATATCAAAGAAGGTATTTTGAACTCTTTGAATGTTGTACACCTAAATGGGTTTATAAAATAAACTTCACATAATAATGTCAAAAGTTTAAAAAAATCAATGAATACAATTTTAAGAAAACATTCAATTTCGTTAATAATTGTCTATATAATATATCAAACTACCTATTACAGTATAACCTATTATTATAGTTACGGTTTAAACATTCTGCAAATACTACATTCTAAAGGATCCAGACATCCAGTTGGCAGAAATTTCGTCGGTATAATATGCAGCCACAAGGCAATTTGCTCATATGATGTGATGTACATCATTTATATTAAATCAGAGACCAACAGTTACGTTTGTCTTTCAAAATATGTCCAATGAAAATGTAACAACCCATTAATCATACTCGTCGAACACATCTCTAATAGTATAATACATTAATACTTTTAACATACATAATATTATTTTAAGCCCATCCAAATTATATTTAAAAACCCGGGAAGTCACTATAGTATAAGTTTCGAGGTTTATTTTATTTGTAATACACTAATACGGTAAGTTGAACTAATTTTTATTAAAAACATTTTATATAATATAATATGATCAAAATGGTATTGTAAATAGTTTAAAATAAGTCTAAATACTTTAAAAATTGCATTGTGTATAGATAACGATTATATAAAGTAACGTAATAGAACGTTAATGAACATTTCAAATTGCTTATGATTTGCATTTGAACAGTTACGCAAAATAACAAAAATCGTTTCAGGAGAAATAGTTTTAATAGGGATGTTTGCATTTCTAGTGTCCTCAAAATATTAACTTCATCGCTCATAAAAATAATGCAGTCCTCCCCAACCGAAAACAAGTAGGTAAAGATTTTAAATTCACAATAAATATTAGACTATAATTTATCACTTCAGAATGATATTTATTTTTGATATTTTTACTATTGATGTCTACAGATGATATTTATTTTGTATGAAAGGATGCAATAATCTATAATTTATTAATATTCATTCCTTAGTATGAGATATGCTGCTCATCGCGTTTGGATATTTATTGACTTATTGTGATACTATAGTACTTCTGCATGCCTGCATAATTAAGCGCTTTTATTAATAGTATGTGCACGTCACAATGATGTATCAGTATCCCCCGATATAATAGTTACACTGATTTCAACAAATAATATTATGTTAACTTAGAATATAAGTATTGAAAGATGAAACAAAAACTAAATTTAGGTAATGTGTAATATTATATTATTATGTTTATTTATAATATAATAAACGTTTACCTATAGCTTTAAATGATGAAATTAATTGTATAAATGTCTGTATCTAAAACAACTATTAGCACATAATAATCTTTACGATGTCTTTAGTATACGGAATAATTTATAAAAAATAATTATCTATAATACAGTGATTTTTACTTTTAAATTAATTAAAGGTAATATTTTAATCATTTCTATACATTTTTTTATGATATTATTATTGAAATTGTAAACAAAAGTTCTCATATCTCAACAATTATAATAAGTAGATACAAACCAAGCACGGATCCAAAACAAAGATCTGGGGGGGGGCCTCAATTGTTTGTTATTGTAAAATTACAATATTGGAATTACTGTCCTATATGAACTAAGATAGTACAATCTAAGTTTGTGTACCTACTCCAGAATGATACGTATAATAATATATTATATTTTATCAG